ACAGTCTCCCCCCCCACCTGAACAGTGTCCGCCTCTATCACCTACTCCCACTTCTTCCTCCACCTATCGCAGCCGTTGAAGACCGCTTCTACCACCTACTCCAAAGACCTGATCAAGACCGCTGCAGAACCCCTTTCAACACACCTGGACACTTTGTTCCTACATGAGATTCTGCTTCGTACTCCTTCGGACACACTAGCCCTTGCATCATAAACAAACATTTTCATTTTTATTTTTCCTAACTTTGACAACCCTGTAGAACATCATTAGCAGATCCCTGTTTCCCTAACTATTGTTCCCCGTACCCTCTAGAACACCAATAGAAATACCCTGTTTTCCTGAACACCGTTTCCCTTACCCAGTAGACCATCAATAGAAGTCCCCTGTTCCCTGAACTCTGTTCCCCCTTAACCTATAGCAAACCATGCAGTCCCCTTAGTTCATCAGTAGGACTACCCTGATCCGAGCCACCTATTTGGTTCATTTGTAGGACTACCCTGTTCCCTGCAACCCCCCCTAGTTCATTAGTAAGACAACTCTGTTCACCAAAACCAAACCCTGTTCCCTCTTACTCTCACAGCCCATGTCACCCACATTATACCCCTCTTCTCTTTCGACTTGTTAACCAGTGATTGGCCTCGTCCCGTCCTTCACAGATTTCAGCATTGCTTCATGATTTTTGGCAGCCGGGACGTTGCCTTCTAGAGGGAGGGGATAGTGTTACGGACTCCGCCAGAGCTCGATCCCTGGTCTATCTTTTTGCTGTTTCGATTGCATCCCATTTTCAGCGTGGCACCCTTTTTCCAAACCCCTCCTTTGGTACCGTAGGATTTTGGACAACTGGCGCCATGCTGCAATTCGGGCGCCACTTTCAAATACCGCATTTTTCAATTCTGCCATCGGGGCCTTTGTAGAAATGCCCCTGGTACCGTACATGTCACCGGTACTTATACCGGTTCCCCGTACGGTACGGGGACCAGTCACGTACCAATTTTCTGCTGCTGTACTCGTACTCGTTGTGACTTGCTGTTTTAGGCATTCCGAACCCAAGACTTTGACTTTGTGCCTTGCCACTGTGTCTGCGTCCGACCCTCGGTTGAGTCGAGTGAGTGAGTGTGTGTGTGTGCTCTCACTCTCTCCCTCTCTCTCTCCTCTCTCTCGGCTCTCTCTCAGCCTCACGCCCGTCACATACTTACTCTCAGGCAGTCCGATCATCAAACAGATAGTAGAAAGGTTTTTGTAGGGGTCATTATATTACTTGTTTAAGAGATGGACTACTCATTACCCAAGAAAGTAGTAGGGGGGCCCTTGTTAGGGTCAGCCTATTACTTGCTTGATTTTATACTAACTTGCGTGATAGGATACTCTTGTAGGAACATCCTAAACACTCGCCTTCCGTCCAAACTAACCAGGTCTCGACTCAGTTGGCTTCAGGAGAGCAATAGGATGCCCTTGTAAGGATCGTCCGATTGCACTTTTGAAGTGGACCATGTATTTGGTCATGTGATACTAGGCGGCCTTTGTGTGGGTCGCCTATTATTCACTTAGACCCCTACTAACTGGGAGGGGTTAAATTTTAATTTTTCCGAATGATAACCAAAGCTAGTAGTGGGGTGCCCCAATAGGAGTCTCAACTATTTGTTTTAAGAGGGGTACTCTTGTGCGAGCCACACAGCTACTTATGAGAAACGGATCTCGTATATTGTTTCTTACTAACCGTCTGCAGGGGTATTGAATGAAATTGGAAAGGCGGTCGAGTTCTTATGTGCGATTTACTCGACCTCATGCTTGATTAACAGATTGTCTGGAATTGATTAAGTAGCAGAAGATTCATGTGTTAATCGATCTACTACTTGTGTATGTGAGGATAAAAAAAGGAAAAAGGAAATAACAGTGCTCCTGTTGGAGCGAGATTTCACGTATCTGGAGGAAAAACAAAGAAAGAAGTTATGACCGGGGAGGAAAGATACTAGGAATGATAAAAATTACCACGTAGTCCCTGTCCGGTCGTGACTTTCGAAAAGAAAAGTTAAGATGGCAAATGAGTTAATCTCAATTATACGAGCATCAAAGGATGTGTTTGTTCCAGAGAGAGAAGATGAAAAGACTGAGAGTAGAGGAAATATGAATTTCCTTGAAAACAACCAAGAACATAGGCATGAAACTCCTTGAGGGAAAGGAGAGAGCGACAGACGGCTTAGAGGAGGTTTGTAAAAGTAGAGCTAGGGGTTAGGCCTTCGGATGTCGATCCCAAAGCTCAGAATCTTGATCTAAGGGTTGGACTCTTAGATATCAATGAATGAGAAACTAGTGGGGATGTTGAATCTTTGTTGACCTGTGTGTGCAGGTCCTTGTTTAATCTACTTCAATTGAAGGAGAGGTTCTACGAAAAGGACCCAACTTTTTGTTATCCCTCGATAACAGGTCGGTTGTTGCCGATTCAACTTTTTCCCCTTGACTTGATACCCACATCTAAAGTCAAACTTTGTGGTCAGTAAAACTGTCACCTATAGTCATTGCCTGAATGGTCCTAATCACTCTCAAGGGTCCTTTGAATAAATGTGAGAGGGTTGGGCTTACGTCTTAGGAAAGACAAAGCTATCATACATGGTTTGAAGAGTGAGGGACAAGGTCAATGAAGTGGATTGATGGTTGACGCCATTAGTGCATGGCATGTGAACTGTCTTTGCATTAATTTGTGCAGGTTTGTTTCGTACGTGATTTTGGTTTGAGTTGGGCTTGATATCGTGAAGAGTTTTTGACACACATCACTTGTGAAAATGGGAAGGTTTGTCCTATGTAACCTCTATACTATCTAATTTCAGCTAAGTCATAACATGTTAAGAAAGATAGAATGCCCCTGGTAGTAAGAAGGTTTGATCGGTACCTTGTTCACTTTTGTCAAGAGAATAATACATTTTAGATTCAGAAGTGGAAATAGACAGTCTTCTAAAAGTTCAACCTAAATATCTAAAAGTCTAGAATAGGGACACCATAACCTGAACCTGACTTAACTGACGGGTCAGTTTTTGGCGTCTTACCGCTCGTACTCCATTCCTATGTTGTGGCGATCGAGCAAACGTCCTCGGTTGACCTACCTCTACAAAGGCATGTAAAAGTTTTTGCATGTGGGTCACTAGCTCAACGAAGATAGGCCTACTTGAGGGTGGTGACAACCCCTTGGGTAGAGGTAAGTTCTACCTCGCGACACCCCAACCTGTCGTGGGGTGTCGTAAGAGGTATAGTCGGCGCGCACGATCGGACTTGTGACTGGTTCTTTGACACGACCGTGAGGTTCGGCGCTCCCAGCAGGGTGCGGGACCACAACGAGCGACACCGCTTTCCTCTACGTGTAATTGCAGTCCTTCCTCCGCTTTTTCCCCTAGTCCCCGGTCCACTCTCCTCCTTTTTTCCCCCTTCTACATTTACCTTCAGCCTTGCCTCCTGGTTGCAGTGACTGTAGTCAAAGATGGTTGTCGCTACAGGTTCATCCTCCAACCTTCGTCCCCACTTCAAGAGGAACTGAAGGTACTTTGGCCTATAGTCATATAGCCCAATGATGCGCACCATGGCCGAGCCCTATTCGAATAGACCGTGTACGATACTGGGTTGCCGGCTCCAAAATAGTCGGATCTAACACTCAGCACATACGCACACGGACAAACTGCCGCACGCTCACTCCCCCGCTCAACCCCCTCGCCTCAATTCACCAGCACTCGTCGTAACGAGGCCGCCTGTGCACAAGGTGTTGAAGACTCACTTACCTCACACTTTATTGGATCACCATGTACCACAGTCCCCATGCTTTGAATGAGGAGTTAACATTGTATTTCAGAGAGGTCGAATTCAACGGTTGAATTTGCCACGAAGTGACCTGCAGGCTCGATGGGATGGTCCCATAACGGGATACCAACGGTCACTTTCGTTCCTTCAAAAAGGACCAAAGGACTACCCTTGATGGGTACCCGCGCCTGATGGCAAGAAGGGAGCTTATGACCTCAGGGGGGTGATAGGCCTCCTACCGAAGCGGCCTCGAGTTACACCTCTTTTGGGGTCCATATCGCAGTAGATTCAGATCGACCGAAACGTGAAAAGTCGAACAGTCTAGCCCGCTCACAAGTGATTACAATATCGGTCATTCGTTCCTCTACGAAGCG